TGTACAGTACATACATATGCTGGTTTGCTTAAAGAGACAGTTAACAAAAAAACTGTCATTATTTACTCACCTGTAAATGTCATTCCAAATTCTATGATTTTTTTTCTTCTTCTGTGGAACACAAAAGAAGATATTTTAAAGAAAGTGTTTTTTTGTTCATACAATGAAAGTCAATGGTGTCTAGTGTTGTTTTGGACCCCATTTACTTTCATTATATGGACAAAAACAGTTGGAACATTTTTCAAAATGTCTTCTTTTGTTTCTTTCATCTTTCAATCATTAGCAGTTTTGGAATGACAAGAGGGTGAGTAAATGATGATACAGTTTCATTTTTGAGTAAATTATTGCTTTTAATAACAGACACACTGGTATTCAGGAATGTGTATAACACAAACGCACACACACAGACACACACACAGCTAACATTTGACCGAAGACTCACATTTGCTGGTCTGTCCCCATGAATTCAGGGGAAGAGCTGGAGATATACACAGCCAGTTCCCTAAAGAGTACTTGGAGAAAACTTCTAGACTGACTATTCAGGTCAGCCACACACACTCACTCACATACAAATAAATGTGACTGCCCTCCGGCAAACACATATGTGAGGAAAAATAAAACTCACCAGGAAATCATTCCACTAAAACTGGTGCTGGTTAATAAAAATGCATAAACATAACTGTGATTGTGTCGTAAACATTTGGTGACATACTGAATACTAAGAGGAGCATAGCAGAATGTTCATATTCACACAAATAAAGCTATATAAAAGAATAAAATAATTTTTTTTTTGTCTGTAAAAATCTAAATAACAGCCTCATTTATCATTCAAACAATAAAGTTTAAAAAAAAAGCATAAAGTCGGATCCCAGCCAGTGATTGACAGTTGGTGGCCAGTAGTATGATCCAGTGGATAACTATTTCAGCTGTGCTGGTCTATGAGGCAGGCAGGTGTGTGTGTGTGTGTGGCATGGCTGATTAACTGCAGAGCAGACCAGTACTGACCTCTGTTCCCTGTGTCCAAGCTCACCTTTGATACGACACCTTGCATGAGATGGGGAAGTGGGCCGTGCCTCAGATAAGAGGGATTGCTTTTATGATACATTGCTCCAGAAGGAAGGAGTCTACCCTCGCCCTCACAAGACCATTCTAGTGTAGAATATTAAAAACTGTTGTATGTATCCGACTGAATAAATAAATGCTTGTTCCAATAATTAGATCTGATGCAGTGAAACAGAAATTCAACAAAATCAAACAAATCAAAAAGACTGAAACAAATCAAGATCTGTTCTATCAAATCGACAGCAGCAAACTAAATGTCCAGGAGGTTCGTGTTTGTGACTTTTTGAAACATTTATGATTACTTGGACTGCACCAATATAGAATTTCTGGCCAACACCAGTAAGACGATAATTATTTTCATGGTATTGCCAATAACAGGCCAATATTAGAAATCTATACTAATTCTAAAAAACCTCAAATAAATCATTTGTATGCAATTAAATTTGATTAATGTACATTATGAGAAATGAAGGGTCATTTTTCCTTTTGAAATATGCTATAGATGCATTAATATGTCATTTAATATTTTGCATGTTTAAAAAAATGTAATTTATTCCTGTGATGGCAAAGCTGATTTTTCAGCAGACATTACTCCAGTGTCAAATTGTTCTACAGAAACCATTATATTATATTGCTTTGGTGCTCAAGAAACATTAAATTTTAAAACAGTTGTGTTGCTTAATATTTTTGTGGAAACTGTTTTTTCAGTATTCTTTGATGATTAGAAAGTTCAAAAAGAACTACATTTATTTGAAATAGAAATCTTTTGTAACATTATAAATGTTTTTAATGTCACTTTTGATCAGTCTAATGTATCCTTTCTGAATAAAAGCTTTAATTTATTTCAGAAAAACTCTTGAGGACCCCAATATTTTCCATATTTTATCATTTTCAAAAGCCTAAATTTCCCTGATATTTCCAGGTTTTAATGACTGTTGAACCCTGTTGACCCATGTCTAAATCAAACAATCTATCCAAGTTTCACATCACTCCAGGACTGAATTATGGAGCACAGACCCAACTGATGAATCACTGTTGCTGGGTCAGTGCCGGCCCAGGGTTCACTGACCATCCCTCAGAGTAGAGAGAGAAATCGATGGTGTCCTCTGTTGGCTGAGGGTAAGTGGGTCATACATCAGGGGTCCCTAGTTCAGCGAGCTTCTTAACACGTGGCGATCAGACAGGCAGTCACAGCGCAGCTGGGTGGACAGTGACAGACTCCACCAAGGAAATGCCCTTGCTATGGCTCACTCGATACGTGACCCTGTCCAGCAAAACACACACAAAGGGCCTTCATGTCCCGTTTAATGCCCTGTTATAGCCCGAGCTCAGCTTAAATGGACTAAATGGTAACAAAATGACCCCTCAAACACATTGATTTCCTCAAAGCGTGTTTTTCCTCAACCTAATAGCGCTTTTTCGTGTTAATTTTAACTCCTTCTTTACTTTAAATCACCAACGGGGACCCACATGTCACGAGCATTATCAGTATTGCGCTTTCATTTTCTTTTGGTGTTTTGTTTTTGTTCTCAAAAGTCCTCCAAGCTAAAGAAGATGATGACGGAGTCCAGGCTACAAGGCCAGCTAACCGGTCTAAACTGGTTCTGACACTGGAGGGGGTGCAGCTGGTGGAGAGAAAAGTAGCGTTGTTTTCGCCTTTAGCGAAAAGGAACCTGGAAGCATTTGAGGAATCGGCTGCAGGTACAGTGTAAGAAAGAGAGAGAGAAATCAAGTAAGAGAGGCAGAAAAGCAGACTGAAAATGAGGAGTAGGAAAAAAGACAAGCAGACAACACGACTGACGAGAAAGAAAGCGAGAGAGAGTAGGGTGACAGGAATTGTAAAGACTAGAGTGAGTGCAGGCTATGACACTGTCTCATCAAACAGCTGGACCTCGGCCAAGTTCATCTGTTAATGGACAACCACCATAGGGCCCCAGCACTCCCCCTTCAACCAGCACCTCCCTCACCCCCTCAAACCCTCGCAGCTCGCTCTTTCTCCAAAAAAGAAACAGACGTAGATTATTCTAAAGCCTTTGCCTTTTTGTTGGAGATAAACAAAGTACTTCAGGTTCAGGGCTCACCCTGGGACTCTGACAAAGCAATCTATCATCCTGTCTGGCTCAGCCAGTTTGACCACACTAAGCCCAAGGAGGCTAATGGGCCCACTGGACAATTTTGTCTTTGTGTGGATGCCCCCTCAACTCTGCCACCCCCATTCCAATGCCCCCTCATAGACACAGATGTGCTTGACCAGGCCCTCTGCGACCTGGATCCATTCCTTCCTTGGTTTTATCACATGTAGTGGGGTCCAAAAAGTGAACATGCTTCTATTTGCATTTTTGTAATGTAATAAAATATTTTTAATAGCAGATTATATTATCAGATGATAATTTGAGTGAAAAAAATTGAATTAAATGTGAACATGAATTTCTGAATTTTTTTCGTTTTAGCACTCAAGTTGCATGAATTCACATCAGATTATTACATTCTCCAGAATGATCCAAAAAGCATCTTTGTGTTCTATTAGAAGTAAGAACATCTGATTGAATGAATCGCATGATCAATACGACAAATCTGCATATTTAATAGTGCAGAATCTTCACATTTCTTCAACATTTTAAATCATAAATTTAGAATTTTCAAAGTACAAAAACATTATTTATTCCCAGGTTTAAATTAGACTTTGTATAGCAGATTTTTAACGTGGACACTGTCGAAGAACTAGGAACGAAAATGAGAGTTGTGTGAGAGATACAGCAGGGGAGAGAAGAGATAAAAAGAATGGTTAGCATTAGCCTCAGACGTGTCGAGACACATACGGCTTCTGGATTGTCCCTGGAATGACATGCAACGGAGAGAATGAAACTCAAGAGAGGGAAAAGTATAAAAGGACAAGGGAGGGAGAGGGAGAGAAAGCACAGGAGAAAGGGGGGAAAGAAATGGACTTAAGAGTATTTTAGTACTTGCTTGCGGGGATTTTCAAACAGAGGGTGATTTTACTGCAGTTTTTGTCTCGCAAACAAAGACAGCATTATATATTATTTTCATACCTTTCCTCAGTTAGGTATTACATTTATCATATTGTCCAATATTCTTTGCAGTTGATAAATAATGTGGAATATAAAGACATGTCATCCATACTATTATAAACCTTAGAAAGTTCATCCCCCTCTTTTTGGGATATATTTGTTGAAAAAAAAAATGCAATTCTGTTGCCAAATGCTGGGATTATTTCAATAATAAATGTAAAACAACAAAGAACCAAAAAATGTGGCAACATATTTCATTAATTTCTTAATGTTTATAAAATACAACTGACTAAATTTATAATGTGTATCTTTAACTACATTATCTTATGAACAACCAGAAACTACAGTGACTTAGGTCTTATGAGCCACAGAATGGTTCATGAAATTCGACATGCTGAAATAAATGACTTGCAGATCAGTAAACAAGTCAAATTAAATTAGAAACTGCTGCAACTGACATATAAAAATGTTGTGATTTACTAAACAAAGAACTGACTCATAAGTGTCATTTGCTTGGGAATCAGACATCACTGGTTTCGCAGTGTGTTTTTGATTCACTAAAAAGAACTGGCACATAGGAGTCATAGGCTTGGAAATTGGACTTCGCTTCACACTGAATAGCAATGCAGAAAACATCTTTTTACAAAGAAAAAACGTATTTATTTTAGCACAGTATTCCGTCTGCATCAATGGAAGAATATACGTGAGAACTGTAAACAGATTCGAACAACATGAATGTCAAGTATTTATTTTTTAAAAATGGAAACAGTTCTGACTTGCAACTCTTGGTTCCCAACTATATTCTAGAGTAAACACATAGTGCTCACTTTTCTTCCTTTACAGCAGAGACTGTCACCTAATTCATATTTATTATCCAGGCTGATGAAATTTATAATATGTCTCCTCCCACTTTTCAGATCGTTCTGTTTCTGCTGACAACTGATACAAGGATTAAGGCAGCCACAACATGAGCAGGTCATCTATATATCATGTGTGGTCCAAATAAACAGGTAAAGCCCCACTGCATGTTTATGCATGCATGCATGTGTGTGTGTGTGTGTGTGTGTCTGTGTGTGTGTTGTATGAGCTCAGGCAACAGACTAGAGACAGCAGCACCCATCAGGGATAGGTTCCTGTTCAGAGCACAAACAGACACGGTTCACAACCCCCACTGTGAAACAAACAGTCCAGAGCCTCTGCCAGGATCTCATCTCACACTTACACACACACACACACACACACACACACACGAGCGAATGCATGCGGCACACAACAGATCACAAAAGCTGACTGCAAGCAGTCCAGAGCAAGATGTCTCAATCAAACAACAAACATAATTCCCAAAGGATGACAATACACTCTCTGCTGTACAGGTGCAAAGAGATGGTGACAAAGAGGGAAAAGAGCTTAAAGCTGAATTGAGGACGGAATTAGACACAGATGGCTGAAGAGAAGACCTCAGGATGGAGAGATTGATAAAGTATTTACTCTTTAAGTCCGCTAATCAAGGAGAAAAGAGAACTAATCAACCCGTATTACAGAGATCAGACATGCCGGCCGGGATGAAGTCAAACGGACAGCCAGCGCTTTTCCCCTAAACATGCACAGCCGTTTCGTTCTTTCTTTACCCATTTTGAGACGATAAATTATCCAATATATTTCATCATATCTTACTAAGGCAATTACATCAAGAAAATGATAGCGCGTGTGGAATCAATTATGCATGCCCTTGGCCGGAGACCAGAGGCTGGGAAGTCGGAAAGGGCAGATCCACTCCGCACATGCACACAAACACGCACACACACATGAATGCATGCAAAGAAACCCATACTACACCACGCTACACACACACACACACACACACATACAAATAAAAAAAGACCCTGGATCTCACAGATGTGCCCCATCAGTTCATCTTACTGCCTAAAAAGTTCATGCACTTAATAATTTATTTGTGTTCTGGATACGGTTTCCCAGCTGAATATTAACAACTTTGAAGTGTGCTCACAGCCAGGGTAGGGCTAAAGGAGTCCGGAGGAAACAGTGCCTGCCGAGTCCCACCGGCCCGAGTCTATTCTCCTCCCACTCCAACCCTGTCCTCCCCTCCTCTCCTGAAACCGGCACGTCCATCCGAGGAGTGAACCGTGCAGCCGTGCGCAACTTACTTTTTTCCTGATTAAGAATTCTTTTTTATCGCAATGTAGGTTTCAGCGCTCCCTCAAAGCACTTTTGGTGAAAACAGGCAAGGAGAGAAAGGAGAAAAAAAAGCAATATGCAAAATATGAAGAAAAAAAACTATTTATCTTTGGGTGATTTGTTTGTGTTTTTAATTTTTCGTTTATTATTATTATTATTATTATTATTATTATTATTATTAAAGTATCATTTTATTATTATTTCATTATTAAAATATTATTTTATTATTTAATTAAATATAACTTTTTCTTTTATTTCAGCTCTCTATCTGATTGCTCATTATAACACATACATGAATTTATTTGATTTATATTTTTTGTCCACATGCCAACTCTCAGTCTCTTTCTGGTTCAATTACATATGACAGTCTCTCTTTTGGGAAATGGGAAGTAGAGGTGTGTGTGTGTGTGTGTGTGTGTGTCGCCAGCACATGTTTTTACGTGTAGATGTTGCACCATTTTCATTAAGTTTGTTAACAGGAAAAGCCCAGTGTGTGTGTGTGTGTGTGTGTGTGTGTGTGTGTGTGTGTGTGTCTGGTATTCCCTACATTATGGGGACCAAATGTCCCCACAAGGATTGTAATACCAGTCATTTTTTACCTTCTGGGGACATTTTGTGGTCGCCATGAGGAAAACAGCTTATAAATCATATTAAACGAAGTTTTCTAAAAATGCAGTGTTTTGTATAAGGGATAGGTTTAGGGGTAGGGTTAGGGTATGGAATGTCCCCATTAAACATGGAAACCAGTGTGTGTGTGTGTGTGTGTGTGTGTGTGTGTGTGTGTGCCCCGTGGGCCTGACAGAGGCTAGTGAGGGTCTAGGTGTGAGCTTAGAGACCAATCAGCACAATAATGTCTGCTTAACAAAGCTGGTTTTCAGCTTTACTCGACTCTTCAAAATCTTTATTTGTTTCCATCTTGTTTCATACAGATCAGTTAATTCATAAAGAGTAAATGCTTTTATGGCAATTGCCGGTTTATTGAGTAAATGATCATTTGAAAAGCAGTTCAATATTTGTGGTAGCAGACGTCTGAGGAGGTAGAGCTGTAACAGAGGTAATAAAAAACTAGCTTTAGTGCAGACATAATAATTTGTTTTCCATTAGTTATGCAAATTACAGTGCTGATATTATATTTACAATAAAAGCAATTAAATTCAATCAAATCAAGGCTACAGGTAAGTAAATACAAATACACTGTATCAAAAGTTTTCAGCACTCATAGAATATGAAAGACACAAAAAAGAGATGATTTGGTGTCTTTATCAATGAAATTGAAGGTTGATCATTTTCTATTAGTTGTATATATATATATAGTACAAAAAAATGTTGTACTCTAAAAAGCCATATCACTGAGAAATATATTACATTCTCTTCAATTACACCAGCAAAAGAAGGTTTTCAGGTGAGCACTCATGGAGCAACACAAAAAAGCATCATTTGGAGTCTTTATCAATGAAATTAAAGGTTGATATCTGTGTCTAACTGTACACAGATCAAATATTAGAGGTCCTGTGGTCACAGGTAGGTTGAGCCTGTGTGGGCTGCAGCTAGGCTCTGGGCGGCTTCATCCCACTCAAATCTAAAAATAAAGCAATTAACTTATTGGCAGGCAGGAGGGGAAAGAGTATGACAGGCCGTCCTGCTCTAGGTGAGGGGTTGTGACCCACACGGGTCTCCAGCACAGTAAAGAAGAGATTCAGAGCCCAGTCACCACCTGAACTGACAGAACAGGACATTTCTGAACATTCATATGGATCTATATACAGTATACACACATATATGTGCATACACACACACACACACACACACACAGAGCAACAGTGAGCTTATTGTACCGAATATCTGGATATCAGAATACCCAGCGGACCAATATCAAACACACTAAAAAGAATCATATAAACATAACCAACCTATTAAATGTATCTAATGCAATCTATTGTTAGATTTGCTAAATTTAACGTATAGTGTCTATATGACAGAAATAAGCAAAAAATTTAAAAGAAAAAGAAAATTAATCATTAATCTTTGAAAGATCAGAGCTCTCGTCATGCAGCGCGTCTGCATATTGTCTCGGCGGCAGAGTCTAAAACCACATACACACACGCAAATACGTGCACACACACATACACAAACACTACAACCCACTAAAACTAGGCAGGCACCCAATACCAACATGAGCAAAGCAGGCAACCACCCAAATCGCACACAAACACGGAGAGTGAGATACGGAGGGCAGCTCCAGTTGTGGCACGCACGCTCTTGAGGACCTCACATGGGTGAGGGGTGTGGTGTGGCTTCAAGTGAAAGTCTAAGTGAAAGGTTTTGATGGAGATCCACCAGGCTGCAAGAGACAGCCTGTCCTGCTTAATACTGTGGTGTTTTTTTTAACAGAACCGGATCAGAAAACGGGTATCTAACATCCTGTCTTCACCTGTGTGAGAACTCTGAGGGCACTTCCCTGAGGAAAATTTCATTGCTTAGAGATTGCTCTTTTATAGGTCAGGTGGCTTTGAGTCTTAAGTAACAACTTAAAGAGGGGTAAAAAAAGAATTTTAGGATAAACATCTGAAACAAAGTTAAGCTTTTATCAGAGGTTTCATTTAAAATCCTGTAGGATAAATAAAAATAGACACAAATGAAACAACTTCTCACAAATGAGAAAACTAATGTGTAAAATATAAAATTATAGTTTAGATAAGTCTAGATAATTCAGTTCTGGAAGAATTTGATAAGAATGTTCAAGTTTATTTTAAGATCTCATTTGATTGCAAACTTTGGTATATTGACAACACTGAGCACAGCTCGAGATATTGATAAGAACTCTTCTAAAACTCCTAAGGTTTTAAGATTCCTATTAAGGTATTTTTCTGAGTAGAATCATCTGAGAAAAAGCACAAGGTTGAAGCAAAAATCTTACTCTTTTATAGTTCAGTTGACTTTATAGTTTCAAGTAACTAATAAAAACATCTGAAACAAAACTGACCTTTCCCCAGATGTTTTGCTTTAGGAGTAATTTCTTAAATTCTTTGTTTTGCTTTAGGAGAGAAAAAAACTCTAGGGGAAATAATAATAGACACAAATGAGATGAAAGGTTACATATAAACAAGAAAATGAATGTGGATAAATTAAAATCAAATCAAACTTGTCAATCTTGGAAGAATTTGATCATTCATATTGAGATTTGGTTGCAGACTTTCGAATCTTGGCAAATCTTATCAGTTTTTAGACATTGGTAAGAACTTTTCTAAAACTATGAGATTCCTAAAGTAATTTTTCTGAGGAGAAAATCTGAGAAGCAAGATATTTCAACAAAAACTGACCTAATTAATAGATAAGTAAAAAGTAAAAGTTTTAGTAGAAAAGGTTAGTCAAAGTTAACCTCATAAAATTCTTTAAGAGAAATTAAAAACAGACACAACTGAGATAATTGTTTATATACCAACAAGAAAAATCAAATTAAATAACTCTAAATCACATTAAAACTATATCTCAGATCATTCAGTTCTCAAAAAATTTGATAAGGAATGTTTGATTTCATACTGATATCTCGTTTGATTGCAGCCTTTGATATCTTGACAAATCTGAGAAAAATCTGAGATCTCTTCTGAGGTATTTCTGAGGAGAAAAATCTGAGATATCAGCAAAAATACAAATTTAATCTCAGCGTAGTTTGGAGCAACTGTTGAGATATTAAAGCAATCTCATTTGTGATTTTTCTTCCCTACAGGTGGGAAACGGACCCCCTTAAGAGATTAGTAGAGACAGAATGATAGAAGGTGCGACAGAACAGACAGGAAGGGAGAAGAAAGAAAAAACACCCAGAGCTGAAGGTGTCTGTAGAGACTCAAGTCCTGCCATCTGTAACCATTATAGCCCAGATGAATTGATTGTATTGAGCGACCCGGCTGGCGCGGGGGCATAGCTGGTCAAGGTGACCTCGTAGTGGAGTTGTGTCTGCCCGATGATACCAGTAGGGATAGAGCAAAAAGAAAGAAGACAGAAGTGAAAAAATGAACTAGCCTAGCTCTGAAGCAATGACGAGACCATTGCATGTGTCTGACAGTGTGTGTGTAAAAGGTAAACAGAGTAGTAAAGGACACCACTCCTGAAGCCCACCCAATGCCTCCAGCCCTGCTCCGTGCCAATTTCTCTTTGGCATTGGCCGCTGAGGGATGTCCTGCAGTACTAGTGCCAACTCACACACACACACACACACACACACCTCACGGCTGCAGAAAACCACAAACAAACGCACAGGCCTCTTGCAGTCACACACACACACACACGGCCTAGCAATTCTGCACCATTCCTATCTGTGTTTATAGAAGCTGTCTGTAATCCGCCGAGATTTATAAATATGCTTTGTAGTACATAAACATTTTTATGGACACGTTCCTCTAAAACATCTGACACAATTTGAGAGCTGCAATACGACAGGACCCAGTGGGTCTGCACGCGTCCACCCACATACAAAACATGCACACATGTTGGCACAAATAAAATGAGGAGATCAGACCAGAACGGAGCTTGAATATCAGTAAAATGATCACAAAATCACGCAGAGGCATAATCACACTTCTCCCGGACCTAAAATCGAACTCTACACCTGCACGTACCTCCGAACAACAACAGATACTGAGCATTTTTGCATAGCTTTTCTTTTTC